TTTTGGAAATGTTGGAATTGAGTTTGGGAGAGGTGGTTGTCGCCCATCCGTTGACATATCCTGCCTGGGACGGGCATGAAAGCGTGTTCTGTAAGGGGGGGGGGCGACGAACACACATATATATATATATGCAATACACTAAGAAGTACTATACTGCACCATGCTGTACTGTACTTACTACATTGTTAACTCTTAACACGTAATTCTGAATTGTATTAACCTCTAGATAGGTCCTAGATGTTGACTAACAACCAGTCTAGTGTATACTATATATTATAGTGTATGTGTTGTATACTATGTATTATGTCATGTATAATGCTTCTTATATATGTATACATAGTAAGCATATGTGTATATCTGTCTGTATATATACATATATATATGTATATATTACTAATCATTTATCATGAATGCACATACGTACATACATACATACATACCTGTGTACCTACATATACATATACATCTATACATACAGCTGTTTACGCAGAACGTGACATGTCTGCATATGATGAAAATGATGACGATGCTCAAGGTCGGAGTGCGCATGTGTGCGCTTTAGGTCTGCATTCCGCCCGCGTTTCCCCACCCGCGCTGCCGCTCCCCGGAAACATACAACTCGCGGCCAGGTTGCTCGACGACCCCGAGAGGCAAATCATTCTCCTGCATTTTCGCCGCGACCTCGCAGAAAGACATGAGCTCAAGCGAAGATTCTGGATTTTCCACTGATGACATGAGCAGGCTTTAGATGCAAGTTCTACTGGCAAGCACCAGATGATTCGGCTTCTCAGACATCCTGAGTTTGGCGCTATATATGGTCTTTACACTCTTGGCCTTGACAGCGCCACGGAGATCGCCACAAAGAACGTGCACGTTCCTAGCAGCAAGTTGGAAATCATGTCGAGGGCGATGTGGACCGTGCAGCATACATAAGGCTCCCAACCCTCAGGGCATGATAGGCCATAAGTGATACAAAGGAAAAGAAAAGGAAAGCCCTCGCCCTCGACGTTTTCCTCAAATCCAAGAGGCAGAAACGACGAGAATAAATGACGCGTGGGGCTGCCATTTTCAGCGACAAAGCGATCGAAGATGGCCAACGCTTCCGTCAGCTGCTTGCCTGGATGAGGAAGAAGTACTGCTGAATCTGAATGCTCAGATATGTACAGTAGAGGGTTGTCTCCAAACCCGGGAAGATCGTAGTGCCAGCAAGCCACGTGCACCACAGGACGCGATGGCTCGAGCCTCAGCCAAGAAACCTATCACGAAGCGGACAACACCGGGGAGATCCGGGGGCAAGCGAGCCTGCGTTACAATCCCTCTCGAGAGTGCCAAACAAAGCTGTGCAGACCTAGTGATGATGACGATGACGATGTGTATCCGCCCTCCGTGGAGCGGCAGCAAGATGCTGCAAGCCAAGCCCAGGAAGTGCCTCTGGCATTTATCAACACATAAACAGAACATGCCACAACTTATATTACGATAAGCGGACATGTACCATAAGGAACAAGAGAAGACCCTTGCCCCACATGCTTGGTCAACCTTGCAGATTTACGTGCCTAGAGCATGCAGACATCCTTGCCTGTAACCGAAACAAACGCACGAAAAGCCCTGCGCAGAGAGTCATCCGTATCACGGCACTCCACAAGATGAAGCGGTTCTGTATCCACGATAAACGTATCAACCGCAGCAATGGAACTTTCAACCATAAAACGATGTGTACATCATTGCATGAGAGGGATAGGATTTAAGGACCGGAAACATCTAAATTTGCCATGGAAGTAATCGTGGACAGTGGGCGCTCATGCATCATGCGTTTGTGCTCCCAAAAGCCTACAACTTTACCACTGGAGAAGCTCTCCGGGACCCAGGCCGCTGTCGCCGCAGCCTCGCCTCCCCGGGCCATGAGGAAGGCCAACCTGCCGAAAGGAGAAAGCCTTTGTGCTGTGTAAAGGTCAGGAACGGTCAGGACCAACAAACCTCGGCAGGCAGCAGAACACCCAAGATACCCCGATTCTGAGCACAATGTCAGGATTTTGAGCATTTCGGGCACTTGCAATCGTATGGGCAATCTTGAGCCTGGGGGCTTGTCAGCAACCTGCGAGATGCCCAACTGCAGGTCTCAAAACACACCAAATCATGATGCCAAAAATGCTGAAAGGTTTGAAAGTCCACCAAAAGTTTGGAAACCGATAGCTGCATTGAATACCAGAATTCTGGTATTCGGTATAGGCGTGTTTTTGAGCACTGCCGATGTTGCTGTGGGGATGTTGGATCTTGTTGCGCTTTGCGGCATCTTCGTAACTTGTACTGTGCGAATTCCGAAAAGTTTAGGTATATTGGGCATATTTGGGCATTCTACTGCTACTGCTACTACTGCTA